GAGTTTTTCCTTTCTTTCAATGAGCTATCAAGTTTTCTTTTGTGTTTAGGTTCATGTCAGAGTTAGTTTCTGTTGGTTGCAATTAAAAGAACTTTACACAGAACTCTAACCAGAATCTGGCACAGGATATAGTTAAAAATTTTTAAAAGATAAAGCAAAAAATATATAAACAAAGTAAAAAGACAAGCAACAATGAGAAAATATTAACAACATATATTTAAAAAGTATAATGCCAATATTATATTAAAAGCTTCTATAAATAAACAAAAATAATAACCCAACAACATGGGCAATATATGTATGCAGGTAATCAACGTAAATTACTAATAAACATGAAAAAAACTGTTCAGCTTCATTGGCAAAAAAAGATATGCTAATTAAATAACCATGAAGTAACATTTTTCACTCGAGATATATTAACAAAATGTAGGAAAGTGGTCACTTCATCAACTATTGGCCAAATATAAGTTAATGCTAGCTTCTCAAAGGACAACTTGGTATAATACCCATCAAAATTTATTTTTATTTTTTTATTATACTTTAAGTTCTGGGGTACATGTGCAGATCGTGCAGGTTTGTTATACAGATGTACACGTGCCATGGTGGTTTGCTGCATCCATCACACCATCATCTACATTGGGTATTTCTCCTAATGCTGTCCCTCTCCAATTCCGCCACCCCCTGCTATCCCTCCCCTCACCCCCAAAAAAGCCCCCGTTTGATGTTCCCCTCCCTGTGTCCATGTGTTCTCATTGTTCAACCTCCACTTATGAGTGAAAACATGCAGTGTTTGGTTGTCTGTTCTCCTGTCAGTTTGCTGAGAATGATGGTTTCCGGCTTTATCCACATCCCTGCAAAGGACATGAACTCATCCTATTTTGTGGCTGCACAGTATTCCGTGGTGTATATGTGCCACATTTTCTTTATCCAGTCTATCACTGAGGGGCATTTGGGTTGGTTCCAAGTATTTGCTATTGTGAACAGTGCCACAATAAATATATGTGTGCATGTGTCTTTATAATAGAATGATTTATAATCCTTTAGGTATATAACCAGAAATGGGATTGCTGGGTCAAATGGTATTTCTATTTCTAGATCCTTGAAGACTTGCCACACTGTCTTCCACAATGGTTGAACTAACTTACACTCCCACCAATGGCGTAAAAGCATTCCTATTTCTCCACATCCTCTCCAGCATCTGTTGTCTCCTGATTTTTTAATGATTGCCATTCTAACTGGTGTGAGATAATATCTCAAAGTGGTTTTGATTTGCATTTCTCTAATGACCTGTGATGATGAGATTTTTTTTTCATGTTTGTGGGCTACATAAATGTCTTCTTTTGAGAAGTGTCTGTTCATATCCTTTGCCCACTTTTTGATGGGGTTGTTTTTTTCTTGTAAATTTGTTTAACTCCTTTTAGATTCTGGATATTAGCCCTTTGTCAGATGGATAGATTGCAAAACGTTTTTCCCATTCTGTTGGCTGCCAGTTCACTGAAGTCTATTTTGGCTTTTGTTGCCATTGCTTTTGGTGTTTTAGTCATAAAGTCCTTGCCCTTGCCCGTGTCCTGAATGATATTGCTCAGGTTTTCTTCTAGAGTTTTTATGGTGTTAGGCCTTTCATGCAAATCTTTAATCCATCTGGAGTTAATTTTTGTATATGGTGTAAGGAAGGGATCCAGTTTCAGCTTTCTGGATATGGCTAGCCAGTTTTCCCAACACCATTAATTAAATAGGGAATCCTTTCCCAATTGCTTGTTTTTGTCAGGTTTGTCAAAGATCAGATGGTTGTAGATGTGTGGCATTATTTCTGAGACCTCTGTTCTGTTCCATTAGTCTATATCTCTGTTTTGGTACCAGTACCATGCTGTTTTGATTACTGTAGCCTTGTAATATAGTTTGAAGTCAGGTAGCATGATGCCTCCAGCTTTTGTTTGTTTGTTTTTGCTTAGGACTGTCTTGGTTATGCAGGCTTTTTTTGGTTCCATATGAAATTTAAGGTGGTTCTTTCCAATTCTGTGAAGAAAGTCAATGGTAGCTTGATGAGGATAGCATTGAATCTATAAATTACTTTGGGCAGTATGGCCATTTCACTATATTGACTCTTCCTAACCATGAGCATGGAATGTTTTTCCATCTGTTTCTGTCCTCTCTTATTTCCTTAAGCAGTGGTTTGTAGTTCTCCTTGAAGAGGTCCTTTACATCCCATGTTAGTTGTATTCCTAGGTATTTTATTCTCTTTGTAACAATTGTGAATGGGAGTTCGATCATGATTCGGCTCTCTGTTTGTCTGTTATTGGTGTATAGGAATGCTTGTGATTTTTGCACATTGATTTTGTATCCTGAGACTTTGCTGAAGTTGCTTATCAGTTTCAGGAGATTTTGGGCTGAAACAAAGGGTCTTCTAAATATACAATCATGTCATCTGCAAATAGTGACAATTTGACTTCCTCTTTTCCTAATTGAATACGCTTTATTTCTTTTTCTTGCCTGATTGCCCTAGCCAGAACTTCCAATACTATGTTGAATAGGAGTGGTGAAAGAGGGCATCCTTGGGTCTTATGCCGGTTTTCAAAGGGAATGCTTCCAATTTTTGCCCATTCAGTATGATATTGGTTATGGGTTTGTAATAAACAGCTCTTATTATTTTGAGATACGTTCCATCAATACCTAGTTTATTCAGAGTTTTTAGCATAAAGGGCTGTTGAATTTTGTAGAAGGCCTTCTATGCAACTATTGAGATAATCATGGTTTTTGTCTTTGGTTCTGTTTATGTGATAACCATCAAAATTTTAAACTGGCATTTGCTTTCTTCCAGGAGTTTCACCTCTAGAAATTTATCCTATGGAACAATCTATGTTCACAAGAACATGAATACAAATACTACATGTAATAACAAAAATTGGAAATAACATAATGTTCGAAAGAAAAATGATTTAAGTAAATTATAGTATATTCTTGGTAAGAAAAACGTTGCTGTAATTAAGAATCAGGTAGATCTATAAACGTTAACATGGAACAATTTCCAATATAAATAGTTAAGTGGCAAATGTCAGTTGCACAACAATGTGTTTGATATACTGATTATGTTAAAACTAGTCTATTAAAAGATAAAGATATAAACTACACATATTAAGAAAATAAGGCTGGGAGCAATAATCCCGTAATCATGCCTGTAATCCCAGCACTTTGGGAGGCCAAGGCAGGCAGATTACTTGAGCCCAAGAATTTAGACCAGCATGGGCATTATAGCAAAACCCCATCTCTACAAAAAAAAAAA